GGGGGGGCGAAAGTGCCCCCAGTTGGTAGAGGGACAAGAGTGCCCTCGTTTGTACTCTGCTGCCAACCCGTTTGGTTTCGCCGGCAATTCCTTTTCTCAGGTTGAATTCACTGCCTGTCTTTAATCTCTGCTTCTAAACTTGTGTTAAACGTTTACTGTGTGTCCGTGTTTGTGTCACGTTTGTATTGTCCCTGTCTCTGCCTGAGTAACTCCCAGTATGGGACAAAGCCATTCCATGCCTCTGTCCCTGAAGCCTTTCTTGGTCCCTGCCTCCACTCCGACCCCTTCCCCCAAGATCCTATCACTCAATCCTTCTGCTCCTCCCCCTTTTCCCTCCATTCTCCCTGAGTCACAAGATTGTAGATATTGGGGTTGTGAACGAACAGGAGCTGCATGATGATCTTTGTGTGTCTTTTTGTCTGTGTCTCTGTTAAGTGTGATGGCATTGTTTTACTTTGGACCGATGCAGAGTCCCAAATTCCAAAAGGCCTTAGATGTGTGGAAGTAACTTTAGCTAAATTTTAACCTATTGCTTCTCCTGTGAGGGACAAAAAGTCAATAGAACCGCCAGCTTTTCTGTTCTCACCTTTTACACCTCTCTTAGCTGTGTTTTAAAGAATTTTGATAAACTTTATCCCCCCCTTTGTTGAGCGAGATTAGGGAAGCAGTGTTTTCTTTTCTTCCCGTAGTTGGCTTGAGCACACCCACTGCAGAGGGAAATGCCTGGGGTCTAAAAACTGTGATATCTCGCTTTAACTTTTCTCAAACTCGAAACAACTGCAAGCAGAAGATGAACTTTTTGGGAAGCTGACTACTGAAAAGTTAGGAGATGTGAGAAATGCCTAGTGCCTGGGGTCAGACCAAGCCAGAGGAACTAATCCTATAAGTAAAAGGTGGAACTAAGGGGCTCCCAGCAGCTGCCAAAGCCATTTTGCTTTGGGGAGTCTCCTCCTTCCTTACCTGCACTTTAGGGATTACCCCACCTCTGTTTGCTTAGCTAATGAGACAATAAATGCAGTAATGTGTTGATGTTATATATTGTTTCTTGGGGATGATCTTGGCTAAATGTGTATCTAAAAGACGATTTTTTTTATTGTAACAATTTGGTATCTGAATGGGTTTCTAAAGCATTGCACTATCTTGCAGTTAAAAGTTGGGTTTAAGCAATTGTTTAGTTTGATTTCAGATAGTTCATGCTAGAAAACTTAAATACTTAGGGTAAAAAAAAATTAGAAAGTTTCAATTTTGAACTGGGTAGCCTGAGAAAATTTCACTAGGTATTCCAGTGCATTAACTTGGGCAAAGATAATAAATTATGATATGATATCTGTTCCCCTCAGTGTGTAAGATTCAGGAAAAAAAAAAGGGTGCTAAATTAAAACGTTGGTCTGGCTTATTGAAATGACATTAATTAGCAACAGTCTTGGAAATTTTTAAGGCTTAATTTTGGATATACATGATAAAACTTAATACTACTTTAGGAACTTCAGAACAAAGGAAGCAGCTTAATGATCCTGAGGGAATTTCCTCTGATGGTGGCCTTTATATTATCAGAAAAAGATCCTATTTTCAGTTTTGTGTGGGCAAATGTTTCTAATGTAAAGAGACATAAAGATATTTTGAGAATTGCATCTTAAACCTGAAAATTATGACTTATAGCTAAAATGCCTTAGGCATGAGGTTTCTGCTCAGAATTCCAGTTTTCCCAGTTCCTTCCAGACCTCAGCCAGGACTTAAGCTGATATGCAAATAGAAGCAGCTTGGGGCACTCAGCAGGAGACAGATTTCAGGCCCAAGGAAAAAAAAAAAAGAGTTAAAGTGTCTTTTTACCTGAACTCAAACTAGACCCCAACCAAAAAGTAAATTATATGGTATTTATTAATTACTGGCCAGTCATCTTTTTTAGGACTCTTGCTTTTTCTTAGATTCTGTATTTTTTTTTTTTTGAGCTCATGATTTTAATCCCACAGATGGGTTAATGTTTTCTGATCAGTCCTATTTCTGATCAACTGTGGAGTTTTTAAACATTGCAATGGAGATTTCACCTGAAAAAGCTACTAGGGTGTTACACTTGTGTTATGTGTTGTATGTTGGTATGTCTGTATGTGTGTATGTCCATATATCCTGCAGTGATATGACAATTAACAGATGAGGAGCGCTCATAAAAAAATTTAAAAATGGATCCAAATATCTTTGATTCACGTGATTCAAATGGTTCAATTTAAATTAGATAAACAGATAAAAGTAAAGATGTCTTTAAAATTAAGCTTATAAGTTTTTCTAGGTGTTCAAAAAGACCCTAATAAAATGTTGATGTCTATAAAATAATCTGCTTAAATTCAGAAATTTACAGATATTGTTTTAAAATGTGAACAGAAGGAGGTTAACAGATGGAAAAGAAAAACTAGAAAGTTTTAGGTATGGATTTAATAGAGGGAAAATGTGTTTCTGGATAAGAGAGTCTATGTGATTAAGTAATTAAGAAGGTTTAAGTAAGTGATAAAAAAGGTCTGTGTAAGTTGGTTATGTGTATAAGTTTTTGAGCAAGTAATCTTAAAAAAAAATTAAAAATTATACAACTATGGTTAAACAACAACTGTTATTTTTCAGTACTTTTCTTGTGCTCTCTTACTCTGCATAATGTTCTTCCAAAACCAATTGCAGAAAGTTTCTAATTAGACTTTCAACCAGCTTCTGCTTAGGCACTACCGGCCTCTGACGACCGATGAACCCCCAGCATCTTCAAGAGAACAGTTCACTCAGTGCTGAAGCTCACTACCAGGCACGATGGAATGCAACGGACATCAGACAATGGGAGACAACAAGTTCGGAGAATCTCATAATCTGCCATCCTGGATTCATGAGTCTTCATGTCCTTCTAAGCTTCCTCATGGCTCTTGGTCTCTTTTCTGTCAGTCCCCCAGCATGGAACTTCTGCCAAAAATTGACCTTTGCTTTAATCTTTATCTTCATTCTGTTTTTATTTGCTCTGATTTTCTTCAGGTGCTGGTAACGCCAACTTGGCACCTATCTGGAAGAACTTACTAATAAATGGGTTGCCTGCCACTTATCTAAGCCCTACCATCTCCCCCTTAGTTCTATATAAGCACACAGCTTTTTGCAAGGTTAATTATGGTGCTGTTGATGTGTTCATATCTTCCAGGTATACAAGTCTGTAAGGTAGAAGCTTCAAAAGAACATTATATCAAGCTGGTGTTCTAAAGTTGTATGGTAATTTTAGGCTTAAAAGAAAAACATGTTGATATAAATGATATAAACATTTGTTTATATCATTTGTGTTCTACAACTGGACTTGTTATCAATAAGATATGTACAGTTCCATGTTACTTTTCACACTGAGATACAATTTAAATGTATTTTTAAGTTAATGAGAGCCTAATCTGTGTAAAGGTTTTATTGCAAAACACAAAAGTACATTACTACTTTTCTACAAGAGGTTAAAAGCTTTCAGCCTTTAATTCATGTTTTAGGTGTGATATTATGTTGTGTTAGCTAATGTTCATGTAAACTTGAACAACAATTTATGTAAACTTTGTAAAATGATCAGCTTCAGAACTATAGTACTTGAGATTTATAAAGAGCCCTGCCTTACTTGAGATAAGGCTCTGTCCCATCTCACTACATGTGAAAGTGGCTATAAAAAAAGTAAGCCAGATTTCAGTACAGTTAAAGTTGTGTCCAAAAGTAGGTTTTTGCCAAGATTACTAGGATCTCAAATAGGAAATTATGATGTATAACCCTGCCAAAATTCAAGGTAGCTATTATATAAGCTAAATATGTTTTTACCCTAGTTAGTTTTGTTTTGTAGTTTGCTTATAGATGGTTTAAGGATTGCCTGCTAATGTTTTAAAGAGGTATTGCTTTAAGAACACAACCTGGGTCAATATAAGATAAGGAGTTATCACCTACAGGATAGAGAGATAAACATTAAAGCCCAGTGCTCTTAATATAAGGCTATTAACTTATTTGCTAGATGTTTAAGATCAAGTTTTTAAAATTAGTTAAATTAAAAGGGCCAAGAAAACCAATATTCGGCTCTTGCCCTCTGAGTCAGTCTGAATCAGGGAATAGGGGACTTCTCCAAAGGGCTCTGCAACTCTAGGCCACATAACCTCCTGAGCAGGGAGATTAATGAGACCAGTGGAGGACAGAAAGCCAATCGGTACATTTGCTGTGAAGAAGAGGGTCATCAGAAGGGGGAGACATCCCTGATGCTTCTGAGGGAAGCCACATGGTCAAGCAAGGCCTGGACCCATCCTAAGGTAAATGGCACTAGCAGAACTGAGAAGCTGCTATGAAGTTCCCCGAGGACTCCCAGGGAAACTCAGCTGACTGTTGACAATAGATAAGAACAAAAGTCAGTTTGACTTGCTTCATCTTAAACTAGCAAAGACAGTTAAAGCCAAAGCACAGTTGTTCCTGGACATTTTAAATGATAATAATAATTAAATGTAACTTCCAAAAATAAGTAAACTGGAGGCTACAAAAGAGATTCTCAGACAGGAATGTCTGATAACTATTAAAAGGAACTGCCAGAGTAGTTTTTAGTTTAAGGCCCACAGATATTCCTAACCTACACAGGTAGGTTTGGTGTTTGCTAGTATGGTTATCCAGCCCTAAGTAGCAGAATTAAAGGTTTCTCTATTAGATACAGGTCATACTAATAAAAGGATTTTGCAAGATCAGATGACATTAAATTATTAGACTATATCTTAAAGGAAAAGGACATCTGTAAACCTAAATGTTAGTTGTTGTGTTTACATCCCTGACATTTCTGGCAAGGTGACAAAGGTCCTTAAAGATTTACATGCTCAGATAGAAGCCATGTCCTCAGCAACTTTGTCGTGGAAACAATATCTTAGCTCCTGGTTCTTGGTACCTCCTGGTGAAAAACATTGTTATTCTCTGTCTTGGCCATTATACTCATTGGCATATTCCTGTGCTGTGACATTTATTGCTGCATCAATATGGTTCCAGTAAATTAATGAATTCTTGTTTCTCTTATAGACCACCTATCCCTCAAATGGCCCTCCAGCCTAATACTTCTCAATTGGACTTTTATCATGGACCACTCGATAGACCCGATTATTAAAGGGGGACTCCAAACTGCTTGCCCCACACCGTCCCTTTTCAGCCTGAAGAAGCCGGAAAGATCCTCTTTGCCCCCCTTCCTTATCAGCAGTAAGGAGTTCCCAAATTAGAGGGGGGAATAAAGCCAGATTTTAAGTTAGGTAGTCAGTGTAGTTAGATAAATCGGGGTCTAATACCGAGTGGAATCTAAAACGGAGGCCATGCTGAAAATGATTCCAGGGAACGCAAAACAACTCATAAAATGTGAAACCCTTCAATAATCGTGATGCATTACTTTTAAGATTAAAAGTAGTCAGAAAAAGGAGTGGGGAATGTAAGGGTAAAAGAAATTGAAGTTAAAGCGTAAAAGTTAAAGGGTAAAAGACTGGGTGTTGTAAAAGTTTCTAAGCTGCAAGGTCTGAGTTAAAATGTAAAGGAGGTATTGTTAGGTTTCTATGCTACCTGCAAAACCTGAAATTTCTGTAGCTGTTAAGACAATGCTTAGAACCGCCCAGTAAACATTTCCCCTGGCTGCTTGGTTATTTAATAACTGAAGGGCTCTGTGTGGTCGCACGTAGGCCTTGCAGGGCCTAAACCAATCAGTTTAAATGTGTACTCTCATTAGGAATGACCTATCACTCCAGCCTGACCTGTTCCTGCCAATGAATGAACTAATCATGTTTAGGAGTTGTTGTTCAATTTTCCCGCGCCTCATGATGATTTGTTCTGATGTATACGAAGCCTTCCGCCCTCCCCAAAAAGTGTACTTAAGCAGTGCTCAGCCCCTGCTCGGGGCTCTGGGCTGCTTTCCCTTCTTGAGTGGGCACGGAGCCCCAGCATGCTGGTTCAATAAATCCCCTTCTGCCAATTGCATGAGTGGTCACTTGGTGGTCTCTTTCTCCGACGTTTCGC